AGCATCAGTGCTTCCAGTGAATATTCAAGACTGATCTTGCAGTCCAAGGGACTCTCAGGAATTTTCTCCAATACCACAGTTCAAAAGCATCAATTCTCTGGCTTTCTCAGCCTGGCATTTTGCATGATATACTCTGCATATAAGTTAAATAAGCAGGGTGACAATATACAGCCTTGAAGTACTCTTTTCCCAATTTGTAACCAGCCTGTTGTTCCATGTGTGGTTCTAACTGTTGCTTCTTGATCTTCATACAGGTTTCTCAGGAGGCAGGTCAGGTGGTCTGGTATTTACATCTCTTAAAGAATTTTCCACAGTTTGTTGTGATCCACACAGTCAAAGGCTTTGGCATATTCAATAAAGCAGAAGTAGATGTTTTTCTGGAACTCTCTTGCTTTTTCTGTGTTTGAACAGACGTTGGCAATTTGATCTCTGATTTCTCTGCCTTTTCTACATCCTGCTTGAACATCTGGAAGTTCTCGGTTCATGTACTGTTGAAGCCTCGCTTGGAAAATTCTGAGCATTACTTTGCTCGCATGTGAGATGAGTGCAATTGTGTGGTAGTTTGAACATTCTTTGGCATTGCCTTTCTTTGGGACTGGAATGCAATAAGGTATCACAGACTTAAAAATTGATCAGTGCATTTTTTATATCATCTGGTTTCTCTCTGGATCTGCCTAAGGTCAAGACCTCACCTTTTTAATTTCCTCAGCATTCCACAGTTTTGGAGAAAAGGCAGAGATGTTCCTCAGTTGGAGGTTAGAGCAGATTCCCCAAGCCCATGTTACCCCCACTTTGTTGGCACTTCGCTGTCTTATTTTTTTCAATTCATTTGTTTTTAATTGAAGGATAATTGCTCTACAGTATTGCGCTGGGTACTTTGCTCTCTGAAAGAAGAATCTGGCACAGCTTCATGTTTATTCTTGGTTATTCTTCCCAATTTACTGTCACTCAGAGCTGTCTGAGCCAGGGAGTTGGTGCGGGGACAGGGGATTTTGAGGCCTGGCCTAATTCCAGGCAGATATCCAGTAGCACAGCACTTAACCCCAGGCCAGGCTTCTGGCAACTTCTGTCCTCTGGAATTTTGCTCTAAACCTAGAAAGAAGAAAATAGACATAAACTCCCTCAAACACAGAGCGATAGCACTGGAGTCATCAACTTTATTCCCCAGGCCTTTTCTAGTGCCTTGCTTACAACATAGCTCTAAAGAATGTTGTCATCTGGTTTCTAGCTGTACAGATTAAAAGCAACAGGAAGAGATATTGGAGTGGGGGATGGGGGGTAAGAAGCTCAGATATACTGATGGGAAGTCATACTGACAAAATAGCACAACATAATAAAGCATGTTGATTCTGATTACCCTGAACTAGCTGGGAAAAGATTCAAGTGAATTAAGAACTCCGGGAAGCATGTAATATATACACGTATATTTCATGTCATCAGAGATAATCTTTAAAGATTTTGGTGTTTAAAGGATACGACTTGCTTATCTATGCAAATCCAGTTGTTTCTAACTCTGCTATACCTTGCCTAAGCCAGAATTATGAACTATTTCTTGCAATGACAATATAATGCTTTTTGATAGTGAGATTTGAAGCCCTGAGCAGAACTGAAATTGTCTTGTTTTACGAGAGTGATTCATGCATTGAGCAAGAATGTGATTTGAATCCTAAATTCATTCATTCTGAGATTTGGTCCTCAGTAGAGGCATTCCTTTTCAGACTTCATCTGAGGCTCCCTCAGGTACCTCTAGGCTTTTGCTCACATTTTGGCAATTGGCCTAGGAGCTGCCTGTGATCCTGCACGGAGGCCCGAGCTGCATGGGAGGGCAGCTCAGGGCTTGGGGATACCAAACAGGAAGTGACCTCAAGCCTCAAAGAAGTCACTGCCAGCCTGTTGCCTGGGTTCACTATGCCAATGAACCAGCCCGGCCTCGTTGTCACCACCTCTGAGTCAGAAGTCTGGGCAGGGTGCAGAGGCTAATGTGCAGACTCCACTCTGGCAGCCTGTCCCGTTCTCATGGCCTTGAGCTCTCTGCCCAGCTGCTGTGAACTGGCAGGCCTTGGGTGGAAGGGACACCGGTTGGGCCAGGGCTTTCTGCTACTGTCAGAGGCATCTGTGATCAGTCCAGTTCACTTCCTCAGTTGTGTCCGACTCTTTACGACCCCATGGACTGCAGCATGCCAGGCTTCCCTGTCCATTATCAACTCCCGGAACTTACTCAAACTCATGCCCATTGGGTTGGTGATGCCATCCAACCATCTCATCCTCTGTCGTCCCCTTCTCCTCTTGCCTTCAATCTTTCCCAGCATCAGGGTCTTTTCAAACGAGTCAGTTCTTCACATCAGGTGGCCAAAGTATTGGAGTTTCAGCTTCAGCATCAGTCCTTCTAATGAATATTCAGGACTGATTTCCTTTAGGATGGACTGGTTGGATCTCTTGCACTCCAAGGGACTCTCAAGAGTCTTCTCCAACACCACAGTTCAAAAGCATCAGTTCTTTGGTGCTCAGGTTTCTTTATAGTCCAACTCTCACATCCATACATGACTACTGGAAAAACCATAGCTTTGACTAGACGGACCTTTGTTGGCAAAGTAATGTCTCTGCTTTTTAATATGCTGTCTAGGTTGTTCATAACTTTCTTCCAAGGAGCAAGCGTCTTTTAGTTTCATGGCTGCAGTCACCATCTGCAGTGATTGTGGAGCCCCGCAAAATAAAAAGTCTGTCACTGTTTCCATTGTTTCATCCATTTGCCGTGAAGTGATGGGACCAGATGCCATGATCTTCGTTTTCTGAATGTTGAGTTTTAAGCCAATCATCTGCAATCACCTCCCTCCTTTTGCTGGTTGATTAATAGTCTGGGCGCTCACCTCTGCTGGCAGGAAAGTCTTGTTCACACCTCTGACTCCCCACCCTGTGACACAGAGCATGATTGCCTCAGGTCAAAGCACAGGAAGAGTGAGGCTGCAGAGCCCATGCGGCAGACAGAAGTGTGGCTCCCTTAGCCCTTGCCAGCGTGATGCCTTGGCCAAGCCCTTTGCCTCCTCCCTGTTCTGTCCCTTAATGCACTTCACCAAGGGGTGCTTGCCAATTGGCCAGTTTACTCCATCCTCCTTGTTTGGGGATGATTCTCATGGCAGTAGGACTACTGAATGGGGCACTAAAATGTGGTAAAGCCCTGGACTGGAAATTGGGAAAGCTGGGTTCTGGTCCTGGATCAGCTGTGGGGTCTTAGATCTCTTACTCCTCTGCCCGAGGGGGAGGGGCAGTGGTTGCATTCAATGATCTCGAAGGTCCAAGCGCTCACTCTTCTGTTCTCTGTCCTGTTCATACATACAGAAATGGGCCATTTTTGAGCGTACCTTCTCTTTTCCTCTATCTCCATATCTCCCTTCACCTGAGTTTCTCTTGTGGTGAATAAGTTCTGAGTCTCTTTCTTTCAAAAGCTGGCCAGGGAGTATGGCAGGATTGTATTCTCGATGCCTGAGTTCTGGGAGTTTTGATTTTGGAACTGATGTGGAATTCAGGATTAATACAGATATGGTAGTCCCATCTGAAAGTTTATCACTGAACAGCAGGCAGACCAGCCCAGCTACCTGTCCGTGTCACAGTGAGGTTTGGAACTCGACATCTTAGCCTCAGTTTACTCTCTTGCATGTGACTTGAGCCGGTGCAGGAGGACTAGGCTGTGCCTTTCCCTCTCATCCTCAGCACTTCCCAGAAAGGTGAGGGAAGGCTGGAGAGGGTGTAGCAGCAAGCTTGGTCATGGATACCTGACAAATGGCCAACTTTATTAAATGCCTACTGTCTGATAACTGAGCCAGGGATTGTGGAGCGCGGAGACTAAGAGGGCAGCTTTTGACAAACAAACTCTGCCTGTTCTTGGCTTTTGGGCCTGCATCAAGTTGTTTACTCCATTTGGCATGCCCTTCCTCTCTTCTTAGCTTATTGAAAATCCTCACCATCCAGCAAGTTCCACCTCTTGCCTGAAGTTCAGCAACCTTTTACTGAGGACCTCACCATTCCCCAGCCCTGTTTGGGGGATACAAAGATGAACAGACATGTTGTCCCTGTCCTCAGGCAGACTGTGCTGTATATATTTTCCTGCTTGGGTCACGGTGGCTTCATATTTCTTCCTTTCTTCTCTCCAGCTAAAACTGAAGCCCCTTGATGGCAGAGGCTATATTTTGGGGGGCTCCACAATGGCAAATAGCTGGGGAAAATGTGGAAACAGTGTTAGATTTCATTTTCTTGGACTCCAAAATCAGTGTGGATGGTGACTGCAGCCACAAAATTAAAAGTGGCTTGCTGCTTGGAAGAATAGCTATGACTAGGTGAACCTAGACAGTGTATTAAAAAGCAGAGACATTACTTTGTCGACAAAGGTCTGTATAGTCAAAGCTATGGCTCTTCCAATAGTCAGGTATGGACGTGAAAGTTGAACTATAAAGAAAGCTGAGCACTGAAGAATTGATGCTTTTGAACTGTGGTGTTGGAGAAGACTCTTGAGAGTCCCTTGGACAACAAGGAGATCAAACCAGTCAATCCTAAAGGGAATAAACCCTGAACATTCATTGGAAGGACTGATGCTGAAGCTGAAGCTCCAATACTTTGGCCACCTGATGCAAACAGCTGACTCGTTTGAAAAGACCCTGATGCTGGGAAAGATTGAGGGCAAGAGGAGAAGGGGGCAACAGAGGATGAGATGGTTGAATGGTATCTGTGACTCAGTGGACATGAGTTTGTGCAAGCTCCGGGAGTTGGTGATGGACAGAGAAGCCTGGCATGCTGCAGTCCATGGGGTCGCAAAGTATCTGACATGACTTAGTGACTGAACAACAACAACCACTTCAAGTTAGGTGATTCACTAGAAGGATGACTCACAAGATGCAGCTGCAGGTTTTAGTTGCAGGTGAGGTCTTACAGCAAAGGATACAGAGGAAGGCAGCAGGAAAAATACACACATTGCTCGGGGATAACCTTCTGAATTTTTCCCTACCCAGGGCCACACAGGAACAACTCACAGCAAACTACAGGGACATTCATGACATGTCTGTGCCCAGGGAAGTCCACCAAGTCTCCAGGTCTGAGGCATTTATGAGACAAAACTCAAGACTCAAATGAAACTTACTTAAAGCCAGGTACATCATAACTCTTCTTAAACACTCCTGAGAGGACCTCCTGAGCTGGTACAACACACACCATTTCTCTGGACAGCATGGTCAATCAGAGACATAAAGAACCTGCTGAGGGCCATTGTCCCAGGGGTATAGGTCAGGGGTCAGTTATGATGCCAGGGTCCCTTGGAGACATACAAGGACTGATCCACGAGACCTTCTGTATTAACTCTTTCTTCCAAACTGTGTCTGATACAGTTCGTGTCCCCTCTCAGAGTGCCCAGCATGGGGCTACACAAGACCTGGCCTCTTCTTTGAGCTCCACTCAGATACACATCACTATCTACTTGTCTTCTCCAGTCCCCTAGACACTGGCATGTGAACATGTCAAAATCTGAACTTGAATACCCCCCCACCACCACTTTTCCCCATCTCAGTAACTGTCAGCATCATTCACTCTATTGCTTGAGCCCCAAACCTGGGCATCATCCTTAATTCTCCTCTTCCTTTCACCCCCTCATCCACAGTCGATCCATAATTCCTATTTTTTTAAATATTTATTTATTTATTTGGGTGCGCCAGGTCTTAGTTGCAGCACTTGGGATTTTTAGTTGCGGCATAAATCTTAGTTGCAGCATGTGGGATCTAGTTCCCTGACAAGGGATCAAACCCAGGCCTCCTGCATTGGGAGCTTGAAGTCTTAGCCACTGGACCACCAGGGAAGTCCCTGTAATTACTATTGATTCTAACTCTGAGGTGTATCCCAAATGTGACCACCTCTCGTTCTTTCAACCAGTCTGGTCCAAACCACCATCGTCTTTCATCTGAAATACTCATCTGCTTGGGCTTCCCTGAGGTAAAGAATCTGCCTGCCAATGCAGGAGACGCAGGAGACACAGGTTCAATCCCTGATCTGGGAAGATCCACTGGAGTAGGTAATGGCGTACCCACTCCAGTATTCTTGCCTGGAAAATCCCATGGACAGAGGAGCCTGGCGGGCTACTATCCAGGGTGTTGCAAAGAGCTGGACACTGTGACTAAAGGACAACATCAAAGCTCCATTTTTTTCAAAGCATTTGTTTCTTTCAGTTATGTGCTGATAGAAGCCAGTGTAACTTTTATTATAAGTATGTCAGTTACTAAGAAAAAGAAACTTAATATATTTTTAAAAAGTAAAACTAAAGTTTAGTGCTTAAGGTTGCAACTTGGGTACAAATTAAAAAAGAAAACTAAAAGAATGCAAAGAAGGATTGGGATGGGATATATATCAGGTTTCTGAGGTAGCTGGCAAGGTTCTATTTCTTGACCTAGATGAGAATAAGAAGGTATTGACTTTATAATGCTCTACTAAGATGTGCAGTTTTTTATATGTTATACTTTATAATTTAAAGTGATTACAAATATGTATATCAACTGTTCAAATGTAAATTATTTTAATGCAGATATCCCTTGTGTGTTTTCATTTCAGGATCCCTGAAGACTTCCTTATGGATTTTGTCTCTGGGAACACGTGAGTTCCTGTATGAGTTTAATAGAGAATTTAAAATATGTATCATCGCTTATAGTCAAGAGTCTTACAAGTGAAAACAAAACATCATTTCCCTTATCAAGTTGGCAGAGACTTTTCAAAAATGTTATTACTCAGTGTTGGTGAAAAGTATGAAGATATAGGAACTTATATGCCCTGCTGGTAGAAATGTAAATGAATACAACTTTTCTAGAAACCCAGCTTGTAGTCTGGAACAAGGGCCTGAAAATGTTCATATTCTTTTTCCCAGTAAGCTCAATTCTAGGAGATTTATGTGAAGGAAATGATCAGAGATTACATGCAAGAATGTGCCTTGCAACAATTTTATAATACTGAAATCTTGGAAACAACAGAGATGTTTAACACTTGGGAAATAGTATCATCACACGATGGAATATTATGCAGCCATCAGTATGGATGGTTTTGAATATTGGCACATAGAATGATGATGGTGGTGGCCAGGATTTATTAATCACTTACTATTTGCCAGGGACGACTATACCTCTTTAAATGAATTCTTGTATCGCTGCAGCAGTGCTTTGAGGTGAGTACTATGATTATTCACATTTTGCAGATAAGAAAACTGAGGTTCAGAAAGTTATGTAACTTGTCCAAAGTCACACTGTAATTAGCAGTAGAGCCAGAGCTTGCATCCAGGCCTGAATACTCCAAATTTACATAAAGTCTGTTAATAGTAATAATCTTTAAGTGATAGGATTATAGTGATTTTTTTTCTACTTTAAATTTTCTTTTATACTCTTAATTTTATACAGCCATCACTTATCAATTTTATAATCAGAAAAAAATAGCAGCTTCTCCCAGGTATTCCTGCCACACAAGGATATACTGACTTCTAGCAGAAGTGTCTAGGAGCAAAGGTAGGCCCAAAGGCCTTGGGACGAGAAATAACTGAAGACTTCCCTGAGGTTCGGCCTCCCCAGCTCCATGGCTAGTCCACACTTTTCCTGAGAACACTGCCCTTTCACTGGACTGGACAGGCAGCCCCCTTGGTCTGGGTTCTTTGCTTTTGTACAAGTAGTCTTGCTGAGGAAAGGAATGGCATATGGGCAGGGACAAAGGGCAGGAACAGCCTGCTTTTTAAATTTCCTACTAAAATTGCCTCCCTGAATTCCTGTGTCTCACACTGCTTGCCTCGTAGCTGTGCCCTATGTAACAGGAGTTCTAACTTGGCACCTCTGGTATGCTTCTGTACCACGTCTACCCTTAGACCAGGGCTCAGGCAGCCTCCTTCTGGCTCGAACTAACCAGCAACCTTGTTCAGGGGGCTTCATGTGGCCGCCAGTGGGTCATCACCACTTTGTCCTATTTCCATGCATGTATCTGCTACTCCACCTTCCTCCTGATCACAACTGGTCTTTTCCCTAAACTGGGATCTTTTAAGGGAAGATGAGGTCAGAAAATGCAACAGATTCAGTGTGACACCCACCATCCCCCCCCCCCTTTCTCTAGACCTGGGAAAACTTACTCAGTGCTCCTGCCTTACAAAGAACAGGTCGGTCCATGAAAGAAAGACATTCTGGGAGTCTGCCCCAGGTTAGCCAAGAGACCTGGGCATGAAACTGAGCTCTTTGGCTTCCTGTGCCCCCTGTGCTGTCTATATTTAGCCGAGCTGCCCCGAGCCTTGTCCACCTTGACTGAAAGCCAAAGCAGGCAGTTTGCTTATAAACATTCTGTGCCTGCCAGCTCATGCCAGCCAACCATTTAGATATCGGTTTTAAAATATGAGGCTCCCCTTGGACCCAAGTCCGAGGGTCTGCAGAGAATACACACCAAGGGCTCCACAGCCCAAGTTTTTCCCAAGGCCAAGAGTGACCTCAGCCAAGTGCCTGAAAACGAAAGGCGTGTCTCTCACCGCTTCATCTTGGCAGGGCTCAGCCAGCAGCTCCCTCTCAGTCCCACTGTTCCTGGTCACAGTTCTTTGAGTGTGTTGACCTACTTTCTCCTCTTCAGAGGGAAGACAGAAACCAATAAATGTCTCGCGAGAACTCTTGCTCTCAGGAATGGTGACTCTGTCTTCTGGCCCCTCATCCTTTCCCTGCTCCATTATCACTCTGCTCTGCCCACTTCAAGCATGACTGGAGCAAAACCCTGAGTGTTGCTTACTGTCCCCATATTACCGCTGTATTTTCAGAGGCAGCATGGCCCACATATCACAGGGATGGGGACAGAGCCTGCCCACCTTTCCTTCCTTTCTTTTTTTTTTTTTAATATTTATTTTGAGCTGTGTTGGGTCTTAGCTGTGCTGCATGAGATCTTCACTGTGTTATTTGAGATCTTCCCTTGCCATGCAAGTTGTGGTGCATGGGCTCAGTTGCCCCATAGCATGTGGGATCTTAGTTCCTCAACCAGGGATCGAACCTATGTCCCCTGCATTGCAAGGCAGATTCTTAACCAATGAACCACCAGGGAAGCGCCCCCCCCCACCCTTTCTTTCCCTAGTACAGCCCCCACTGTTAAGTGCTGTGTGCTGGAGTGAGGTTGCTTCTGCATGAGAACCTTTTGGAGATCTGCAGGGTGTCTCTGATTTTGTGACTGGTGGCATGATGAACCAAGAGACATCCAGCTTGACTCTTTCCTACATCTTTGGCATGGGCCTCTGAAAAGTGTCTCAGGTGTCTCAACTCTGTAGTTGCCTTGACAGGCAGAATCCTTCTTTGGACAGTATACACAGGTGACTCTGCAATACTCTTCATTGAGATTTTCAGTGGCGAATTGATCAGTTTAAGCTTTCTTTACACTTCCCAGTCTGCATGCCATTGCCCACTTCCTCTAGCCATCAGTTACAATCAGCTTGGAAAATATATGCCCATTTTAATATCAGTCCGAGAAAAGTTACTTAGGTGGATAAGTCTGCTGAGGTTCAGAAGTAAGGGTATGGCTATGTCATATAATGAATTCCAGAGTGCCTTGGGAATCAAGGGGCTTTAATAAGCTGCTATGTCTATTCTCCATGACCATAGGTAATCAAATGGATCTTATTTAGCTCCTCTATCCCTGGCTGCTTTGTCTCCATTCTTTCCAACTCGTCCCTGTGTGCAGAGCAGATTATATACAACCAGCCTGTCTTCTAGCATCCTTTCAGATTTCGTTGACATTGGGTAACAGGTGGTTTGAAAAAGATTGCAAGTCTTTTTCACCAGCTCCAAAATCATATTAGAGTCACGGTGGCCACAGGAGCCTGCACCTCTGCAGCCAGCTGGGCCAGGGGTGGGGTGAGCCCTCCCCTTGGAGAGCTTAGCCAGCAGCAGGTGAGGATACAGGGCATAATTGCAGACAACAGTTGGGGGATCTGTGCTTTTGGGGGACCCTTCCTACTTGTGGCTGTGAAGTATCTGTCTCCCCGCCCCACCATCTGGGTTGATTGTAGGCAGAATGAGAATGAATAACAACAGGACCTCTGTCTCCCCAGGACTGGAGAAGGGAGGGGGCAACTGGGATGGGCACAAGGATGAACTGTGGGCAGTGGATAGAAAGGGTGATGTTACTGAAGAGGTGAATGATGGAAGGGACGATAATGGAAGTTATTACCTTAAAGGATGCCTCAGAGTTTCCTCAAGACTATGAAGTGAGAAGCGCCAGATTGGCAGGGTAGAGAGAAGGACACAACACTTGGAAGAAGCTTGCAGAGCCTATCTTGTCATAGGCAGCACACTTTGGTGCCTCACTGACCTAGGAAACCTTCTGTAATGAGGGCAGTGTTTCTTTGTGCTCTCTAATATGGTGGTCAATAGCCACATGTGGCTTTTGAGCACATAAAATGTGGCTGGTGTGACTGAGGAACTGAATTTTTAGTTGTAGTTAATTTTAATTAAATTGACCTACATGAAAAGATGCTCATCATCACTAATTATTAGGGAAATGCAAATCAAAACTACAGTGAGGTGTCACCTCACACCAGTCAGAATGGCCATCGTTAAAAAGTCTAATAAATGTTGGAGAGGGTATAAAGAAAAGCTAACCCTCCTACACTGTTGATGAAAGTATAGGTTAGTACAGCCACGATGGAAAACAGTATGGCAGTTCCTCAGAAGACTAAAAATAGAATTACCATATGATCCAGCAGTTTCACTCCTGGGCATATATCCAGACAAAACTCTAATCTGAAAAGATAACATGCACCCCTATGTTTGTAGTAGCACTATTCACAAAAGCCAAGACATGGGAATAAACCCATTAACCCAAATGTCCATTAACAGAGGAATGGATAAAGATTTGGTGTATATATACAGTGGACTATTACTCAACCATAAAAAGAAGGAAATAATGTCATATGCAGCAATTGAATGAATCAGGAGCTTATTACACTAAATGAAGTAAATCGCAAAGACAAATACCATATGATACCACTTATATGTGAAATCTAAAATATGACACAAATGGACTTATTTACAAAATAGACCCACGGACATAGAAAGCAAACTTATGCTTACCAAAGGGGAAACGGAGTGGGGGAGAGAAGGATTGGGAATTTGGGATTAGCAGATGCAAACTATTGTATATAGGATGGATAAACAATAAGGTCCCACTGTAGAGCACAGGGAACTATATTCAATATCCTGTGATAAACCATCATAGAAAAAATATGAAAAAGAATGTGTGTATATGTATGCGTGTGTGTGTGTATAATGTATGTATAAATGACTCTGCTGTACAGCAGAAATTAACACAATATTGTAAATAAATTGTACCTCAATAAAATTTGAAAAATAAAGACATAAATTGACCTAGCTGCATGTGGTTAGTGTTTGTCCAGTGGGGGCAGCGCAGCCCTAGAGTCACAGTTGACTCAGGCAAGTGGGCGGTCCACTGCAGAGCTTTAAAGTATCAGCTACAGCTGACAGCCCTGGTGTAAATCCTGGTTTGCCATTTACTAACTTTGCAACCTTGCAGAAGTTACCCAGCCTCTTTGAGCCTATTTTCTCATCTGTAAGATGGAGAGTCTAACAGTGCAGAAACCACAG